TCCATGTGAATTTGCTTTAAAGATTGAGAATCACCTTTTCCAAACCCTAGCCTCCTTTTTCTCCTTCAAAATTTCAGAACCGTAATCCAGCCTTCCTTTCTTCTTTTTATACCTCTGTTGTCTTCTAAACATGTTTAAAACAACGGCATGATTTTCAAGGTTCTGCCACATGTGTGGAAAAAGTCAACGCACGTGCGAGAAGCACTTTTCTTCACAAGTCCTGCATTTTTGCTCATTTTATGCTCCTACTATGTACAACCCGGTTGACATTAAACAGACATAAAATATATAGTTTGACAATCAAGTAAAGTTAAAGAGATTCTAATTAACGGCTTCAGTGTTGGACAATTCAGCCTTAACCAGCTACAATTATGTGTTGAGTGATGGAGAGACAACATGGGAGGCCATGGTGTTTGTGATTGGTTGAAGGCACTATGTGGTATACCACATGGTACCCTCCTAGCATCCAAGAATTTTTCCTTATGGGGCGTGTTTCATGCAGAGTAATTTGGCTAACTTAGCTGAATTATAGATTATAACTTAAAAAAAGTTATTTTTGACGATTTGATTAAAATTATTCTAAACAGCTTCTAATTATAGTAGTTTTTTAACAAAAAAAAAATTTAATTCTGACAAGTTGGCCACCCTCTGCTTTTGATTATTAGTTTTTGTGGTGGGTTTGTTAATTTACGGTTATACCCTTAGAATTTTTTTTTTTTTTTTTTTTTGTTTTTTGGTTCTTAAAAATAGAAAAAGACCAAAGTATAGATTGTGGGCTAAATTTTTTTTATGGGAAATTTGGACTAGTAATTAATAACAAAAAAATAAAGATTAATTCAATTTACAACTAATAAAGGTTAATTAAATTTACTGTTAATAGGGGTAAAAATGACATTTATCCATCAAAATGCTATTTCATAACTTATCTATCAAAAACTACTCAGCAACTTAAATCTATAATTCAAGAATTGTACCAAATTAATTAACAACTTCTAACTAAAATAATAATATATAATTTATTAAGATATAATCCATAATATATTTTAACATTCGCATCAAACAGCACCATTGTATCCTAAAAATTAATATAAAAATGATACAATTTATTATTTAAATCAACAAAAAATCAAGTTAGCGTCTCATGTGATTGTTCCAAGTGTATTAAATAGTTTTGCATGATTATATTTTTTTTGGATAACCTCTTGATATCTGTTTGAAATAGGAATGGTCACTTGTAATTTGAAAAATTATAATAAAATTTTTATTTAATAAAATTAAGAAAAAATTAATTTAAGGTCTCTCTCCTATTTTTAATAATAGAGGAGGTTCACAATATTATTTTTTGATATCTAAGGTCCCTAAATACACACCCATATATCAGATTAGAGAAATTTGACTATCTCTCTCTCTCACTCTCACTCTCTCTCTCTCTTTCTGATCTTCAGCAAAATATACAAACAAATTCAGAATAGAGACCACATAGATAAAAGAACCAAATTTTGCAATAATATCTGAAACTGTTCTCACCTTCTTTCCCGGTGCCGTCAGAAGCAGAAGAGGAGGAGGAGAGGAGATAACAACGGTAGTGAGAGAAGAAGAGCGTGAAAAGGAGTGAGAACCAACTAGGGTTTGGGCTTTCTTACCACTTTATGAATAATTCCAAATCTCTCAATCCTTTTGGTCCCTCAAAATAATTTTGTTATATTATTTTCCAAATTTGAACAAATGATCATATTTCATCAAAAGAAAATACTTGATCTGATTCTGCACAAGCTTGTTTTGAAAATATGCAAAATATGCACAGAGTTGAGGACATGGATTTAGCAAAGAAGATATTTAATGAAATGCCAATGAGATAATGTCTAAGGTCCCTCAAATCAATCCAGAGAAATTTCAATCTAAACCAGAGAATTTCTCTGGACCAAACCAGAGAAAATTCAGTCCAAACCAAAGAATTTCTCTAGACCAACTCAGAGAAAACTCAATCCAAACTAGAGAATTTCTCTGGACCATCCCAATTTTTTCTGAAGCAGAGCATTAGTCCAGTCCATACCAGAGGTTTTCTCTGGACCAACCCAAAGAAAATTGAGTTCAACCCAGAGAAAATTCAGTTCAAACTAGAGAATTTCTCTAGACCAACCCAATTTTCTCTAAAGCAGAGCACTAGTCCTCATTGTTGTCCAGAGAAATTTAGAATTTTCTCTGTGATTTGTCTAGAGAAATTCTTTGGATCGAATTGTCTCTGGATCGATGTTGAGGGACCTTAGACATTATGAAAATATTGAGTGTCCTTTATGCTATAAAAACTTAATACAAGGGGACTTTTAAAAAAAATCTCCTAAAATTAATTGAAAAAAATAAAATTTCTATAATAATAAAAAAAATTAAATTATTAATTGAAATAAATTTCTAATATTATTAAAAACTGTTAATTGATTTAATGATTTAGTAATAAAAAGGGTACACTTGTTATGAAATTCAAAATTTCAAAGGACGGGATGAAATTTCTAAACCACAAGAGGCAATTTATATTTTAGACAAATATAAAAAAGTATATTTGTAATTTACTCTTTTTTTTCTTTGATTAATGATTGTGGTTTAAAGTGATTACAGTGGCACCAAAATATACCAATTAAAATTAGGTCCAACTTTGAGTGGTTTAAGAAAGTTGGTTAAAGTTAGGTTTTTGGGTTTTTTTTGACTTTTTTTTAAAAAAAGAATTTTGTAAAAAAGTATAGATGTGATGTGATTTAAAATAAATTAAAATTTAAAAATTAACTTTTAATCATGTTCTTAAATTGACCTCTTATTTTATTGACTTTTTAACTTATTTTATCTTATTAACTTTTTAATTGTTATTACCCATAATAATATTTTGTTATAAGTAATAACTAAATGGTTTAGTAGCCCCCCTATATAGCATCACTTAAGGGTGACGTGTGAGGTCTCAACATTTAAGAGACCAACTCCAAAAATCACCTCTTATTAGGCTTTTTTAAGTATTTAATTATGACTCAGATTTTTTTTTTTTTTCATAATCCATAATGATACGATATTCATTACAATTTACAAATGATGTCAAATTTATTTTTTTAGACCCAACCATGAAAAATTAGGAAAATTATATCATGGGTCACTTTAGTTTAAGCGGAGTATCACTTTATTTCATATAGTTTCAATTTGAACAATTCATACCTTGAACTTTCAATTTTATTACAATATAGTTCCCACATTATACACTGTTAACATTTAAAACAGAGAACGACCATGTATAAAATTAGAGAAAATAAATTGAATTTTTTTTAAAAAAATATAAAGATCATCAGTGTGATTTATTTATTATACCAGTTATCCCTATCATTTCTTTTGAATTTTACATTGGTGTCTTTAGTTTTGCACATGATATTTTTCTGTTCAAAATTATAACGATGAGTGACAGAATGACCACATTGTAGCAAAACTGAAAATGTAAGATTTGAATTATTCAAATTAAAATTACGAGTTCCAACGGTATGATTTATCCTAAAAATTAGAAGGAAATTCCTAATATACCATACGCATCTTGTTATGCATTTTTATTACATATTTTTGTAATAAATATTAATAATGTTCTAACAAATTTACGATGATTTGTTGTTCAAAAATAAAATTACATTGTAATAATATTACATTTTTTTAGCGAAACATTTTTGAATCACAAATATATAATAATATTAAAAAATGTGTAACTCAATTCGTAAGCTATAAATCGTTCAAACTTTGTCATAAAATGTATCCAAAAATGCGTAATAAGGTACATCTATAAAGCCAGTTCCAAAAGAAAAACAAAAAAACTACATCTATAAAGCGTGTGAACCGAAGTGATTCCCTTCCCTAAAATACACGCAGTGAGCACTTTTCTTATAAAGGTGCGTGATAAATTAAGAAAATAAGAAAAAAAGAATGTTCTTAAAAAACAAAACCCCTTACACATGGTTGTTTGGTTTGGTAAAAGTATTTAAAAAATTGTAATAAAATATATTAAAATACATAAAAATATTTATATATATATATATATATGTATATTATAAATATTTTGACATTTAATACTTGGTAGGAAGTTAGGAACAATATGAAATAGAAAGAAGTAAATTTTATACACAAATATAATATATATTATGAGATACTTTTTATTATTATGATTAATTTTAATTATAAAATTCACTATATTTATATTAAGTGTTTAAAAATAATAATAATATATATATTTATAATTAATGAAAGATAATGCCTCGTATTACTCTATCGACATTCAAACATTTTCCAAAAACAATAATAAATTGAAAGTCGTTCAACAACAAGACCTACTCAAAAAACAAAAACAAAAATAAAAATAAAAATAAAAATAAAACAAAAAGAAGCAAAGTATGTCTTCCCATCCCATGCATTAAAAGCTGTTCAAACAAGAATGCATTTTTTGTTTAAAAAACAAAAATGCATTTATGCATTGTGTTAAAGAGAGATTTTAATAGTTTACCAAAAAAAAAAAGAAAAAAAAAGAGAGATTTTAATAGAAAATTGGGAGCCAGTAATTTATTTCACCATTACAAAAACAAAAGACTTATAAAATCCACATGGAATTTGAAGCCTTCTTTCTTTTGCTTTTTTTTTTCTTTTTTTTTCTTTCCCCCGAGTCTTTTCTGCAGAGTACAACAGTGTGAAAAAAGAGAGTTCAATTACGATCATATATATCATTCCCGCATCCTTCAGAGCAACCCTTTGCGTCACCCTTCACCACCACCACCACCACCACCACCACCTTCCAACCCCATTTGAACCCCTCTCTCTCTCTCTTGTAACTTCTATTTTTTATTTGAAGTAAAACTCTCAACACATTTAAGATGAATCCAAGCCTACCATATAAGTTTTGTGAATTTTTTCTATATCAATTTTTTTTTTTTTTTTTTATATATCTCTTCCATTTTACAAAGTTTTTGTAGGCAGGCAGTAGCTTCCATGGATTTTCTTTCTTTCTCATCTTCTCTCTCTGAATTCCCTTATTTTTCATTGTTGTATATGATCTGGGTTCTACAATCTTCTAGTTCCACTGATCGGAGCAATACCATGGAAGGGTCGGAGCTTGATCATCCGAAAAGAAGTTACAAGCCTCATCCCCACTGAAAAAATTGTGCTCCTCTATCTTCACAAACTGTGGCTGATACGCCTTCTGTGCATCCAACAGAATCGCTTTCGAGTCCGAGAATGGGTAGCAATTCACACCCGAATTACCGAACTTCAGCATCGCCGCCGCCGCCGACGAGGAGGAGCTCGGAGACACCATGAACTGGTGGTGGTGGTGGTGATGGTGGCTGTGCAGGAGAGGACCACCGTGTCCGGAGGAGATTGCGGCAGCGTTGGGGCTATTGTTGTTGTCTTCGTTGAGTATGGCGCTGGAATCGCTGTCGGACGACCCGTCTTTCAGGTCGGGGAAGACAGCCGCCGTCGCTGCCGCCGATACTCCGCCGCCATTGGTGTTGAAGGTCTCGTAGTTGAGGTCGTTGGTTGTGGTGGGATGGTCAGATCCTGCAACCGATGGTGGTGGTGGTGGTTTAGTAGTGGTGTGTTGGAGGAGTTTGTTGGCATCGGAGTCTGATGGGATTAGCTCTTCTTTCACTGAGACATTGCTTTCAGTGTTTTCTTCTTCTTTTAACTTTGATTTCAGTTCTCGTATCTGCAATTACGGGTTACCAGTGTTCAGGATTCCAAGACCATGTACACACACACACACAACACACAGACACACAGACACACACACACACACACACACAAAAGGTTGTCATTTATTATATCATGGTTTAAATTTTCACCAAAGATTCTTTAGAGTGTTTTTTTGTTAAAGTTTCTTAAAGTGATGTATTGTGTGATTGAAATTTAATGCTAAAAAATTGATGTGACTTGTCATTAAATCTCAACCACAAAATACACCACTCTAAAAAAATTTTAGAAAAAAAAAACTTTAGAGCATCATTGCTCTTAAATTTAGGGAAAATATCAAGGGTATGTTTGGTTTGTGTTTGAGAGATGTGTTTTAAAGATAAAAAGTACGTGTTTTAAAGATAAAAAGTACGAAAAGTTGTTTGGTTTGGTTTTTTTCAAAAGATGTTTTGGAAAATTATTTTGAGAGAGAGTTTTGAAAAAAGTGATTGATTTGATGTGTGTGTAAGAGAGATTTGTTTAGAAAACTTGTTTGGTTTACAAGTTTTGAGAAATTTTTTTGAGAAAATTTGTTTGGTTTGATTACTTTTAAAAACTAATTTGTAGAGAAAATTTCCCAAAAATTTTTCAGAAACACAAACCAAACGAACCCCAAGTTTTTCAAATAAATAATGAATTTTATAAATATTATTAATTAAAATCATTAGAAAAAAAAAACTTTAGAGCATCCTTGCTCTTAAATTTAGGGAAAATATCAAGTTTTTCAAATAAATAATGAATTTTATAAATATTATTAAATAAAATCATTAACTTTTTTTTGTAATTTCTATTTAAATATATCATATTCATTAATTTCGAGTGAATACCATATTATTTATTTATAAATATATATGTATTAATTTTTTTAATTATAAAAATATATTACTCTTATCTCTTCACACTTTCTTTAAAAGGAGAAATTTGTAAGATTTTTTTTTTTTTTATAATTATGAGTTCAGTATGTAAATATAAGAAGATTGTGAATTGATATTGGCTAATAATTTATGGGTATTGATGTATTAATCTTTTCATAATAATTGACACAATAAACAAGGACATATAAAATTTACCATACGTAACATATTCTATTATTTCTTGTTTTTTTTTTACATACATGAATACTAATTACGTCATTTCTTCTGTGAATATATGTAAAAAAAAAGTCACACAAACAAAACAATAATAACAATTTCATTACAAGTATTCATTTTAAACTATAGGCAGGCAGAGTAAAATATGTATACCTTGTAACTGAAATTTATTTGAAGTAAAACTCTCAACACATTTAAGATGAATCCAAGCCTACCATATAAGTTTTGTGAATTTTTTCTATATCAATTTTTTTTTTTTTTTATATCAATTTTTCTAATCCGAGAAATAGAACGAAAGCTCTCAAATTGTGTCACCTTATTATTTTTTCATAAATCAGAAGTTTAGAATTTATCTAACTAAGCTAGATAAAATCTAAAATTTTGTTTTAAAAATTGTCAATAGAGCAAAAACTAGCCATATGGAAGAGAAGTAGGTTAAGAGAATTACCTGCTTGAGTAGAGCTTCATTGTCATCTTGAAGAGAGTCATAACTGTGCTTGAGAGATTCATAATTGGCTTTGAGAACCCCATAGTCTCTCTCCAACTGCTTTGTTTTCCACCGTGCACGGCGGTTCTGGAACCAAACAGCCACTTGTCTGGGTTGCAACCCAAGCTCCTGAGCGAGCTTCACTTTCCTCTCTGGTTCAAGCTTGTTCTCCACTTCAAAATTCTTCTCCAATGCCTTCACTTGATCAACGCTCAATCGCCTCTTCTTCTCTGCGATCTGACCCGACTCTTCTACACACCCTTCTTCGTCTAGTCCTTCCAACATCGACTGAAACTCTCTTCCGTACACATGGTTGTTTCCTGGGCTGTGCTCTTCTGAATCAATCAAACCAAAATGTGTCATGAATTTGATAATCAAATACAACCAATTGAGAGTATAAATACAAAACCCAGAAAAAAATATGCTTTAATTTGTTGTTTAGTTAACCTGTTGTTGGACAGATGGACATCAAAGCACCCAAAGAATCTGAGCTGCCCAGTCTCTTCATGACTACTGTTGCAAAGTTGGTACTCTGTTAAAACAGATCTGTTTAGATCTGAGAACCCTTTAGTTTGTTTTGATTTTGATTTTGAGATTTTGATTTGTTTGAGTTAAATGTACAGAGAGAGAGAGAGACAAAGAGAGAGAGAGAGAGAACTCAAGGAGAGTTGAAAGCAGGTTTATCACTTGCAAGATAACATGGAAGCAACACTCCCATGTCTAGAACAAGCCCAACTTGTAGAGTGATGCACACAGATTGAGTGAGTAAGCAACCATTTCTCTCTCTTGGGTACCCCATCATTCTCCTTTTTCAATACTTCTTCTCCCTCCAAACCCATCCAAAAAAAATAAATAAAAGAAGTAAGCAAAACCCAAGAAAACCAACCCACAAAACAATCAAGCCAACCAACCAAAACCCAGAATAGAAGTTATCAAAAACACACACACTTTCACTCTCTCTCTACTCTCTCTGTCCTTGTCTCTCTCTACATCATTACACAATCAATTTAAGAGTTATAAGTTTGAAGAACTAGTCTCTGACTGTTCATCTACAAAAGAAAAGATTGGAGAGAGAGACAGAGAGGATTGGAGTGGGAAGAGGGAGATCAGTAAAACCAGTTCACAACCCAGCTGGCCTTCACACTTTCTCTCTCTTTAAATAAACCCAACTTGGGTCAGATACAGCCATGCAGGGGTTAGAATCTGACTGTGGTTAGGTACACTGAATTTCTGCAAATGAAATGAGCCCCAAATTGAGATCCAAATGTAATTTCTGTCCACCGGCTATCGCCGGTTTTGGAACAGTTTTCGGAGAGAGATTTTTTTGTTTTTGGGGAGTGTGGGGTACGTATAAGCTATGTATGGTTGCGATAACTGGAGAGGATTGCTTGGCTCGGCTTGAAGAGAGGCTCGGCTCGAGTCAAGCTGATTTGAAGATTTGCGTAGCGTCAGTGTATCGTCCTCGTCACTACGGCGTGGTCGGTGCGAGTAATCGCGATTAAATTGGGGACTTTCATTTGTCCAAGCAATCCTTTCATGCCAATACGTGATAATTTTGTTAGAATATCACCAACTATTCATTATTTTTTTAATTAAATCTAAATAAAAAATAATTGATTTTTTTAATTTAATACGACTAGTTCCAACAGTATGCACCAAAAGAGAAGGAGTCGTCCGGTTGGTTGATTGGTAAAGCTTATAAATTTTTTTTTTTTCCCTCTTGATTACTCCTGTCAAAACATTTTATTTGTTAGTAGACATTGCTAAGTTGTGAACTGAGTGTAACATTTGATTTGCATTCTATCTTGATTTTGATTTTTTAGAAACAATCCACACGGGTATTGAAAGGATCAGAATTACAGACTCAATTGAGTCTTGTTCAAGAAGATCTTAAGAAGGCACAGGAGAAATTGGTTTTGGTTGAGAAAGAAAAAACTCGGGCAAATGAAGAATTAAAAGAAGCCCAGAGATTGGCGAAGGAAGCAAATGAGAAACTCAGGGAGGCTTTGGTGGCTCAAAAACGAGCCGAAGAAAATTCTGAGATTGAAAAGTTCTGGGTTGTTGAAATGGAACAAGCCGGAATTGAGGCATCTCAGAAGAAGGAAGAGTGGCAGAAAGAGATTGAAGCTGTGAGGAACCAACATGAAAGATTGGCAGAGAGAGTGAAAGAGTTGTTGATTGCTGTTGATGGCTACCAAAGAGGATGAGAGATTGGAGGAGATTGCTCTTGGAAGATGAATTTCCACAAGTACTTTTGACGCTTTGATTCAAATTTCAAGCTTGAGGGTCATCCGGGGGGTCGACCGGGAGGTCAACCTCCCAGTGTAAGATCTATACAAAATTTTGCGAAAATTGGTCATCCTGTTGGTCATCTGGTAGTGAAAATACAACGGTAATGAATAATATTTTGGTGAAAGACCTAGAGCATTCTCATTTTGGTGAAACTTTTGGTGAATTCTTATTTTGATATCTGTTTGGTGAAACCATTGGAGTGAGAACAAGTGACTTTTTCATCAAATTTCAAATCTAATGCAAAGTTTGATGCACCGTTGGAGATGGCCTTAAGACTCATTTGTTTGCACCAAAAAATCATATATTTCACATTTTTTAATGTGTACTACTCTTTCTGTTTTAAAATAATAATTCCTTTTGAAAAATTTAACTTTTTTTTATGGTACAATTATTACACTTTAAAAAAATTAAAATTTTAAAATTACTCTTTGATAGTACATTTTTTAAGGAATATCAATGTCATAATTGTACTTTTTATGTTATTAATGAATTTAAAATAAGGACAAAATGAGAAATTTATATTATTTTTGTGTTTGATTTTTGAAAATGAACTAATATTTTGGGACAATGAAAAATATAATAAGAGACTAATATTTTAGGACGGAGGGAATACTTCATTTGTTTCAAAATATTTGTTTCTTTTCAAAACTTAAGAATAAAAATAATATAAATTTTTTATTTTGTCATTTTTTTAAATTTATTAACAACATAAAAAGTACAAATAATTGATATTTCATAAAAAAAAATGTACTATCAAAGGATAATTTTGAAACATCAATTTTTTTAAAGTGCAATAATTGTACTACTAAAAAAAGTTCTAAAAGAGACTATTATTTTGAAACGGAGAGAGTAATAAGTCTTTGAAAAGAATTTGTTTACTATAATTTTTTAATTATTTTAACTTGATTATAAATGTTTCATTTAAAAATAATTTTTATTTTTTTGTAATTTTGTGAGAAAAAAATAAAACGATTATGATTTGAATATAACATTTTATTTTATTAATTTTTTAATCTTTTAATGGGTTAAATTAGTCCCAACTTGCTTTCTAAACGAGGCCTAAGTGAGGAGTTGAAATCAACACAATATATATGTATATATATATATTCTTTTACAAAAATAACTAACAAATACTTTTTATTATTAATGTAAAATAAACTTATTTAAAAATATTTATTTATTTTTAAATGGTGAAAAATAATTTTTGAATTAGAGTTTTATCAATATGACAAAATTTGAAGTCTTACTTCTTATGTCAATTGTTTATTTCTCTATTCAAGACAAGAAAAAAATTAGATAGAGAAGAGAGTGAGACTTAAACCTAAATAATAAGGAAATTCTTACTACTTGAGTAACATACAATATATAATGAACATTTTGTTTTGTTATTAGTTATTTGAATTATATATCCATCATGTGTCAACGACTAGTTTATTTTAAAGTAACAATCAAACATAAAAATATAGGGTAAATTACACTAACCTTTCCTAAAATTTGGAAAAAGAAATAAATACAGAAAGTTTTACAGTTTTAGCATAATTATATTGACTTCCGTTTTAGTAAATCTAAAGGAATTGGAATTAATACAGATAGTGTGAAGACGGGAAGATATACAAGATTAAATATATATTTTCATATAAAAGAGATAATAACGTCATTTTTTCATCCATGTGATGAGACAAAAGTTAAATGTTATGTGAATTAAAGTTTTAAAAAAAATTAATATAATTATAATAAACATGTGAAATTTATTGTATTTACTGAATATCTCAAGAGAGAAAGTAATTTACCCTAATATACATATGTATAAGGAAAAAAATTCACTGAAACAAATCAACTTGCTTTTCCTTTTGATAGGAATTCTTGGCTATGTTTGGTTAGTTTTTTAAAAATAGTTTTTATTATTTTGTTTTTCTACAAAATAGAAAGTATAGTTTGATAAAAATAAACCCTAAAAAAATAATTTTAAATTTTTAAAAATTATTACTCCCTTCCAAAAAAGATAAAATTATATGAAAATGATCAATATTTTTATTTTTTTTCACTAAATTATGCTTTAGATTTTATTTTATTTTATTTTTTTTTAAAAAAAATTTGAATACCAAACCAAATATAATCATCTTTTGAAGATTTAAATTTGGACTTATGGCTAAATGATCTAGAGGTACTGTTAGAGCATCCACATTAGTCTTATCAAATGTAGTTTTTGGTTAAATATAGCTAGCAAATCATAGAATTGTTGCTTCATCAATCTCACAAATTATTTCTAAACTAATTTTTGGTTAACTTTGTTACAGTATCTTAACAAATTTATTGAGGTATTATTCATTAGTTATTTAATCCTTTATCATTTTTTGGGGGGATAGATTTGACCTCACTTTTTTAATTTTTTAAGTACTATTCATTGAAAAGATATTTAAAATTTATTTAAATACGAAAAATGAATAAAAATAAATATTTTAATGAAATAGATTTTTTAAATAGAGAGATTGATAGAGTCTGTATATAAAAAAAGACAAGTTCAAATATAAAAGTGCTTTTAGATTGTAATTTGATTCAAAATTTGCTGAGACTAATATGGATGCTCTTAGACTATCTCCAATGATATATCAATTCTTTTATCAAATTTAAATTTGATGAAAAAATAACAATTTTCTTACTTCAATAGTTTCATCAGATTAGTATCAAATCGTGAGTATCAAAAATCTTTTACCGAACTGAGGTTGCTTAGAGCTTTCATCAAATTATTTTTCATAGCGGTTACATTTTCACTCCCGGATGACCACCTCTAGGTAAAAATTTGTGAAAAAAATATACTGGTCGGTCGACTGGCTAAACATATGCCCGATCGTCCAACCAGTCAACCGGTGCTTTGATGAAAGCCTGAAATCCTTCGAGCACTTGATATCAAATGAAATTTTTATTCAAATTTGATAAAAAAAAATATATACATCATTGGAGATGCTCTTAAGGAGCATATTTTAAAAATAAATTCCTATAAGTACAAAATTTTATAAGTTTCTAGTCTCCCAATTTTAAATTAAGTAATTCTATGTCTCGAAAGGAAAGTATTAAATTCAAATTCAATGTCTCGAAAGAAAAAATTTGTAGATTTTTGTATTGTATCTTCGCATCAAACACATTTAATTATTCAAATACAAACAAAAAATTATAAAATAGCACAACCTATATATTTAAATAAAGGGCAAATTACCTTACACCTCCTTGAGGTTTACTTAAATTATAAATTCTCTCTTGAGATTTCAGAAATTATATCTCACCTCTCGAGATTTATATTCGTATAACAATTTAACTTCTCCAATTAACTAAACGTTAAGAATAGTTAGCTGACATCACCAAAATACAAATTGATGGATGATATTGTCCTTACTAAAATTCCTTTAATAAATCAACAAAATTTATAAAAGAATTACGTTAGATAGAAAACAAAATTAAGTTTTTGGAACCATATTTGATTTGTTGTTTAAAAAGAAAAATTAGAATTTAGAAAAAATAAAAACTAATTTAATAAAAATAAATATGAAAAAATATATTTAATTTGTACAAATTATTTCTAACCACTCCAAAAATAAAATTATATTAAAATAATCATTATTTTTTATTTTTTATTTCTTAACCAAATTAATTTTTTTTAAATTAAAATAAAATTTTAAAAATCAAACCAAACATATTCTAAGAGTTTTTTGACAAGCCATTTCTTGTGTTTTTAGCTTATTTAATTATTTATTAATTTTATGATATTTTCACCATCTGACACTACAACACATAAGAGTTTTAAAGACCAATTTTTTTAATATCTAAAAGTGAAAATTTTGTTACAAAAG